TTAATTATAAAAAATTTCTGCAATAACTTTGCAATTAGAACAACTTTGTCAGAAAAAAATCTAAAAAATCCAGAAAAAATATATGTTAAACTATAACTTATAATCTTTATTTTGATATAAAAATAAAAAATATTTATTAATAAAATTGAAAACTTTTATATAAGACAAAAATTTTAATTTTTACTATATATTATTAATAAACTGCATGCGTGATTTCATAATTTTGAGCACCACTGTATAAATATTTTTAATGAGGTAACTATTGTATTTCTTGGATATTTATAACATTATATTTTATAAATAATAGAATTCTACAATATTATAAATTAAAAATTAGCTTCTTTATCTATATAAAGAAAAAATAAAATATCACAATAGTAATTTAAAGTTTTAAACTTACATGAAATAAATATAAACTTAGAAAATTTCAAAGAACAAACTTAGATTCACAAATTACTTTTTCAACACCTGAAACTCAATATTTCATTACTACCGACAGAATAATTAAGAAATTGTCTTTATATATTGCGTGGTGTCGTCAGATCAAAGTCAATATATACAAGTTCAAGACGCGTATGAAATAATGCTAAAAAGGTCGCAAAGGTCACTCGAATTGTACATAGCCAACAGTAAAGCAAAATCAATCTTTAGGCAATAATAAAAAATCTGAATTTTTTAAACGAAAGACAATCTTGCATAATGATAAAGTATATTTCTTAAATTATTCACATATGTTTTTTATACGTCCAAAAAAGCTCATTTAAACATCTCAAGTCCACTCACAACTTAATTAGTTTGCTAATGTTAAGAAAATTGAACTCGAGAATCAAAAAAAGTGAATAAAAAATAAACCACGCATCGTCAATGCTAAAGTGTATACCTTTTTCCATATCAGCACAATTCCCTATGGCGATTTCACGAACGAAATAAATTGTGTTTTTTCTTAGTGCAATAATTACTATTTTTTATTTATTAAAATTAAAATTAAAATGATAATTAACAATAATCTATTGAAGTTATTTAGAAAATAGAAGGTCTATTCTTCTCTAGGTATAAATTTCATATTTTGGAAAAGAATTCCTATTTATCAATGAAGAATAAGATAAATAAGAAACAAAAAAATTATCATTTAATTAGAATAATGCCATACCATAGCTCCGAAAAACTTTTCATCCTATTTATAAAATTTAATAGGCTTTTAGGAAAAGGTATTTTAGTAGCTTCCAGAAATTCGATGAATGATTTATGCGGTAGTGAATCAATAGATGGAAGGTGAGTTCCGAGAGATTTGGTCGTGGGCCGCTAAAAAACCAAATGTCTGAAAGACATTTCAAATGCTCGAGATTCGGATAGAGTGCTATCGTTATTTAGGCTCAAATTTTATATATTGATTGCCGAAGGTTACGATGATAAAGAAATACCAAAGGAAATATTTCTTTTTGAATTTCGTCTTTATTTAGATTAAAACATTTCGAGGATCCATCTTTAAACTAAGATTGCAATATTGGAGATTACTGTTAGAAGTTCCGATGATTTCCTTTCTGAAACTTGCATGTTCAGTACAAAGAGTGAATTGACAAAGTGGTCAAGTTGATCTCGTTAAATCTTAAGACCCATAATGTCTTTGGTGATCTAGGAATTAATTGGACGGCCGCAGATGGGTGCAGTCAGGACTCAATTTAACGACTATGCGATTTAATGAAATCGCAAATTAGCGATTCTACTATTTATTTACTAACAGATCTAAACCTTCAGGATCTTAAATCGATAAATTTTGTGTGAAAATTGGTACATATGCGGATTTTGTAGAGTATAACATTTTTAATTAGTGTCCAAATTTGGATCCGTCATAGAAAAATGTTTTTCAATGTGAGAAATTTACTAATTGAAAATTTTGATTTATCATTTTACAAAATTGACTAAAACAATCTGTTGTCAAAATAATTTTAAAAAAATACTAGAGGTCTTGTGATTCAAAATGAGTACTTTTTTATTTTGTTTGGAATGATATTGACGAAGATAAAAATTCTAGAAAGTTTTGATCGCGTGTTCCATTTCTTGTGTGAGTCACTGAACAAAAAAAATGCAATGGCTTTAATCCTATTACTGCATCTTGCTGATGATGGCGCAAAAATGAAAAGTTGGCGGTTGTAAATGAGTGGTCAACGGATTCCATTTACACAAAAATACCCCATGTATCTTTAGAAAAACGTTTGAGATAAACACTTTTGATATTTCGCGTTTTCTTTCTCTAGTTTCGTGATTACTTGGTGGAATCGGCACGATTTGAAGATCCGGTATCAAGATTTCTTGGCGAATTTCAATGGAAATTATTTTCTTGAATTTGTTCATTCTATATCTATATTAAAAAATGTGTAATTATTTTTTTTTAATTTCTTGTCTAATGATTATACATCGACATGTGCTTAAATAGACTGCTTTATCTGTTATTTGTAAAAAGAAAAACAAAGTTATTTGAAAAGATTCATGGAACCTTCAAAATAAGGTTAAACTTGCACAAGCTCATAGGATATTTTCTATAATCCCTCCAAAAATTTACCCCAAGCCACCCCACGGACCTCGAATCCGTCTCGCCAATTGAATATCTTTTTGCATAATCGTGACTCGTTTCGCGTGAATGGCACAAAGATTTCTAAACACAAATTTTAAGAGGAAAAACAAAAAGACTATCGACATCAAGAGACAAAAAAAACATTCAACTCACGCATCTTCAAACAAATGAACAAGAAACGCTTCTGTGGCCTCCTGTAACGCTAAAAGTGCACTACTTTGCCATCTTAATCCAGTCCCATCACTGCCGGTCATCATATCCACAGCAATTTCACGGACCTACTTATATTTATATATTAGTTTTGTCCTCATTACAAAAAATTATCATTTCTAATGTTTCGTAGTAAATAAGCTTACAACTCGAGCAAATGGTAATTTCCTCAATAATAAACTCGTAGATTGCTGATATTTTCGAATTTCACGAAGTACTTTAGTACCAGCACGATATCTAACAGGTTTTCGACCTGTACCTCCTCTGCTTGTTGAGCCTCGATCTCTCGCTAAAAAATGAAAACAATTATCAACTTAAAAAAAGATCTGTGTAATTATCAACTTCTCCAAACCAAATTTCATCGAATCAATAAAAGGTACTTGTATTCCGAGAACTCGAAGCAACAACACCAAAGCTTTTTCTTCCTGAAGAACGCTGCTGAGAAGACATTTTCTGTTATATTTTTTTTGAAAAAATATTATTTTTCGTGCCCTATTATACTGTATCTGTGTTATTTTAACAAAAGCATCATCGATTGTAATCATTGATTGATTTATTAATATTGTTTTAATTCATGCGAAAATTCAAGAAACTTTACGAATTAAATTTGATGCAATATGACATATTTTATTATGTGGTATCTAACACATATCATTACATTATTCTATTATATACAAGACTAAGAATGAAAGAATATTTATTGTTATATAAATCTTGCAAACTTTTTAAACAACCCAGAAAGGATTCTGACACCTAAAGCTTTCTTCCGATTATTCGCCCTAACACATTCTTTTTTCATAGCGACACGCCATTCCTCCCACATGACCTCTTCCCAATGCGGATCAAAAAATTTCTCCCACTCGCGATAAGTTGATGATTTCGGTAGATTTGTGGTATCGCACAGAAGTTCTTGACCAAGCTCTTTTAACATCATTCCGGCACGTCGCGTACAATTGTCGTAGCCGATTTGGTAGCCGACGTTTACCCCGTTTTGATATTGTTGATGGTTGTAGGCGTGTTCGCGGATTTTTGCATCGTGGGTTATTTGATAGGCGATTTGGTGTTTTTTTAGTACCCATGATGCAATTTCTTCGGGTGCTAGATTTTCAAATTCTTGTTGTGCTTTGAGAATATCGGAATGCCAATACAATCGATAGTCGCATGGGTGTATGTATGGGAGACATGACATTACCGTTTTGGAAATTTTTCCTTCTTTTAATAATTTCTGCTTACTAAACAAATGCAACAAAGTGAAAATTAGAAGAAGTTCAATAATTGAATTAGAAATACTAGCTAATGATAGAATATCCATTTACCTTATCGTTCTTTCAACCAAACATCTGGTACAACATCTAACACGAAATACCCAATAAATATGCGCCATCGAGTCTTTTGACTGACAAAATTCGCATCTGGTTGTCGCCAAAGATAACCAAATATACCGTTGTTCACTTACATCACATGGAGGAGGAAGCATAAAATCTGGTAGACAGCGATGTCTAGCCGACTTCCATATTTGTTGTGTGACTGTTGATGCCGTGGAATTTAACAGTTGTCGGTATCTTCTACACACTCCTGATAGTGCGAAGAGATCCCTTAGTTCCAAGTGATCACATATTTCGAGGAATATTTCGGGTGGAATGGTTTCTGATATTGATATTTTTGTTTTTGCTGACTTTGCTGACTTTGCTGGTTTTGTTATCGTTATTGTGGTGGTTTTCTGTGATATTATCACCGACGAGGTTTTTGCATTTATTGAACTATGTTTTTGTGGCATTTTTTTTTGATTAGAGAAAAAAAGCAATCTGAATTTTTTTACTTGAGAAAAAAATACTCGATTATATTTATATAATTACCGTTATAACCGATAAATAACTGATATCATATAATAACAAAAATTTGAAGTATTGTTCGGATCTTCATCTAATAATATATACAACACATTGTTATAATCACACACTACGTACTCTCTTCTCCACTATAAACTCAATCAACCGGAAAATTTTATTACTACAATTAGATCAATATTTACTTGTTTATATTTGTATATGACTATGCAAAAAAAATGTATGTGCATGCATCTATGTATACAGGCGCTCTATTTAAGACAATGAGAAAATTAGTGTTAGTTACTGTTAACGTTAATAAGAAAAACTAGACAATGCTTGTTTCAACTAGATTCTAACAAATTATTATATAGCTCATTCACTTTCTTTTCTGTCATTTATCCGCCACATACTTCATATATGTATATATATAATTGGAAAAGTGCCTCGTCAAACTCTCGATCAAACACAAAAAAAAATACAATTTCGTCAATTGTTCAATCATTTTTTTTTCGATTGATTGTTTTACGTCCATTATTTTTGATATATATATATATACAATAACATGTCGTACATGTATATGCATAGTGATGTACTAATGGTGTCTTCAATTGTTTTGAAGAAAATAAACAAAGATGTAGTTTTGTGTGTCTGCCTTTTGACAAAAAAATCGACGGAATGATAACCTCAATTAAGGTCGATTAAATTTAACAAAATACACGTGGATTAGTTATATGGACGTTAGATAGACGTCATTAATCGCGCGATACGTAATTCCGGTTTTCGTTAACTAAGTAACTAAGCAGTTCTGAGATCATACAATTCCACTTGATATGTTCCTTATTAGCGTTAGGTTTACTCATTGTAATAAGCAATCAAAAAAATTATTTTTTTTCAATTAAGTTTGTATGATGCATGCAATCTACATTTTTTTTCACATCGATATGCGAGATCTTGTGATTTCAATTAAAAAAAATGCGAGTTATTAGTTGATTTTTTTGAAAAACGTCATCTGATAAGCAAGGCGAATCCTTGCAGAACAAACTAAATTAAAAATTCAACAAGTGGTGAATTGAATCAATCAAAGACATACTGATACTACACATATGCAATCTTTAACGTAACATACATAAAAGTGCATAACATGCTATTATAAATAATTACCAGCTACTGGATATAATCTACAAATATATCGATATATCGAAATTATGTGTGATTTCTCTAATTTTCAGTCAGAAATGAAATTGTATATAGTAAATGTATAGTATATGTTTATAGAAAAAGGACACAATGTTTACTGCAAAGCATTTATCTACAAGTTGAGTAAATGTGTTTTGTAAAGTTAATACTGGAATAATTTAATACATCACCCATCAAAATATTCTTGTAAATGAGCTGACCATTCATAGTATTTCTCCGTTATTTTCTCCCTTGATAACTATCTACAAAAATTCCACGGAAACCAAAGTAGAAAGCTTTGCGATCACCCCAACAAGTAATTAGCTTATTTAATATATATCTCTTTCTATTCACATTAAGAAAGATAAAATGATATTTATTTACTCAAGCCTGAATTATTTTATAAAAACACATTTGTAAAGTAAAATACCGGTTAAAACCAGTGTATTTTAGAGTCTTTGCTAAGTTTGACCTGGGATTTGGCGTGCTTTTTTATTTAGCTTAAACTCGCTATATTTCTTTGGATATAGATTTAATATTTCACGCATTTTGTTAATTTTAAAATTTTCTAAGTCCATTGTCTTTTTTATTGAATTTATGTTAATTTCGGTCCTAACTTTTACGTTTTTCGTTATTTTCTATAACAAGTAAATAGCATTCATTTAGCTTCCAGACATAAATTCAATATCAAATTAAGTACGTAGCAGAATAATTAGCTTTTATTTTACGTTCGAACTTTAACTACCCCCCACCCCATAAAAAATTCCTACTTAATTTAGTCCAATTTTTTTATTAAAATCAATTTACGGTACAATTTTGATTGCTAAATCAATAACCTTAAGATTAAATTGAGGTTTGAATTTTCTACAGAGGGGAGGAGTACCTTATCCAGTGCTTTAGAATTATTAGTTAAATCAAATATACTTTGTGATGTGATTAATAATATGCATTTCATAGGTCAAAGCGTGTTTTTACTTCATCAACGGCTTCAAATAAAAAACCTCGTTCTTTATTGATTTTTTGAAAGTATTATTTTCTTTATGTATTCGGGCAATAAAAAATTGAAATTCTTTTTGGTTTTCTGTATAGCATTTTATTTCGCGATTTAAAGACAAAAACTATAACGGAAATGAAAAATATTGATCAGTGAACCGAGCAAAAGTATGCTGTCATTCTGTTAGTGGAATTCTAATATAAATGCACATTTTCAAGTTGACGAAAAAAGTATGTTTGTTCATGATGGATGGGAAAGACGCTCATTTAATTGAAATTTGCACAGACGCCTTATTGGGTTTTCTCATAATCTTCAATTTGCGTTGCAAAGCAAATTTGCTTTGTACTGCGAATGACGAATAACAAGAAGCTAAAATGGCAATACGTTTATGTTCTTGATTCTTTAGATTATTAGAAGCAGCATATGAGGATACTTCTCCAAAATAATATGGATTTTAGTGAAAATATCTTCTATAAATTTAATTTAAAACAAACTCATTGTCCTCTGCTGTCAAATAATTATTTGTCTCTAAATAAATTTATCAAGAAATGTTTGAATTTGTTGTCATTAATAGAGTTGTCAATTAAAATTATGCAAATTACTTTTCGCGTCGAGTTAAATCACGTGGTTAAAACTGGCGCACGTGTTCGTTGAATACGTATTTATATTGTATTATATTACATGTATATATAAACAATGCAATGTGATTATATGAATGAGCTAAATAATGAGGAGTCACTCATCCGCTCATCTAATGATCTGCCAAATAAGTTTATTATAAATAAAGTTTATTAATCTGTATGTATTTTATCACGGAATTGGGTAAGAGGTATTTTATAGACATGCCCCTTTTCACGAAAAGACTGCGAGAACAAATTAAGACGTGTATATAAGTAAGTTTAATAATGTCTATGGGTGATGATCCAAAAAGACAAAGCAAGCTTACCGCACTTTAGTCGAGCTGATATCATTATAAATTAACTGTTTGATCACGTATACGTTTTTCTATTTATATTTAAGAATAAAATATTAATATAAGAGTGAAATACAAATAAAACGCAAAGTAAATACTTACCCTATGTTCATACAATATATCATGCGCCAATAAAAATCCCCTCACATCTGCGCCTGTTCTTTCTACAATCAAGCATCCAAAATCGCCCAATATGTGATGAAGCTACATAAAGGAAACGCATACAAATAAGGATTTAATCAAAGCACGAGTTAACAAACAATAAAAAAAAATAAAATTTCTACATCGTCGTTCGACCAGAGATTCTGAACTCCGAATGATTCAATTAGATCTCCACCGGCAAGCAGCATAATTCTAACTTTTCTTTGTGTCCCTGAATTATATGACATATGACCAATGATTAATTAGCATCTCATGAATTGCAAAATTGAATCGAGAAATATACTAATAATGACCATCAAGTGTCTTCACACCACCACCCTGAATATTGACCATCTCGTCAAAATGATCCAACACTAAAGCGGTAGCAGTGTACTCTTTCTGTAGACTCTCCCACGCATCAATCATCAACCAGGTAGAAGTTCTTTCGACAGCCATCTCACACATCCGCACGCGATGATAAGCTGCTGCGAGACCTTCTTTTTTATAGTGGTCTGATACGGGCGAGAAGTAACCGCCCATAATTTCGAATCTGTTATCTTCAATTATATTATCTCTGGCCATTTCTAAGTAAATTGAATATCATTGAATCACGTGATAGATAATTATGATTGACTAAGAGGATAATAAGAGGATAGACAACTCACCAAAAATTCTAAGATGAAGATACGTTATTGGGGAAAAAGAACCACACGCCACAATCACAAGCGGTTCTTTATTTGGGTCTACAAATAATTAATAACATGGTAAAAAAAGCGGAGAGTTCGAAATTCCATCTCAAATAGAAAACCCAACAATGAAATTCTGAGGTGAGCAAAACAGAAAATATCTTAATTTAAATAAAGTTTACACTTCATTGTCTTTTTTTAAGTCAAATGGTTAAGGGGGAAAAGGGTAACAATGACCGACTCAACACCTTTTCCTCCGAAACCTTATTAACTAACCTCAACTCTATACCCTTAAAAGTTTCACGCGCGCATACCTTGCAGCGTTTTCTGAAGTTTGTGCCTGGGAAAGAAGTATTCTTCTAAATTAGCAGCTTGATGCTTTATATCTGGCGGGTCGTCGTCTAATTCGGTGGCGGAAAGTGTAGGCGAAATATTATAAAGATCGATATGAAATTTGTTATTATTACTATTACCCCTCCCATTACCACTACCACCACCACCACTACCACTATTATTATTTCCTTCCATTTTTCTCTCAGACAACAATACCCCGAGATCTAATCAATTTATATAATAGTATTATGTCGTGTGATTAATATGTGTTCGCATAGATCTTGATTGTCATGTTCGATATACATAGATTAAAATCTCAGGTGATAATGTCAGTAGATAAAATCAAATTATTTGAACATCTCATTTCGCCTGTAAATCAAATATCTACTAAAATGTCTTCAACAGTAGCAACAGCTTCAATGCCACAATCAAACGAACGTGACATTGGAGTCGAACCAGACAAATCACAAACCGCAAAAAACTTTCACGATAAACATAGCATAAACTATATACTACGGTCGGGTCTTGCAGGTGGGGTAGCTGGTTGCATGGTACGTGTCGCGTTCGCATCGTTTTACATGTTAATGTTTTTATCCATTTTAATTAATAATAAGATTTTACTTTATAGCGTCCCTAAAATTAACGAACTTTTGTATACAAACAATTCTTTTTTGTCTCCAGGCAAAGTCTGCAGTCGCCCCGCTTGATCGAGTTAAAATATTATTTCAGACTAATAATCCACAATATCGGAGATATGCAGGTATTTTAATAATCAGTGAATAATAGTAAAAACTTGTTTGAATATATTTAAAAAATTCCTCAGTATAAACTTGCTTATATATAAAATATTCCTCAATATAAACTTGCTTATATATAAAATAATTAGGTACATGGACGGGTGTATTTGTAGCTAGTAGCAAGATTTATAAAGAAACAGGTTCTAGAGGTTTATTTCAAGGACATTCTGTCACATTAATTAGGATTTTTCCATATGCCGCAATAAAGTTTATCGCATATGAACAATTTCGTCACGTAAGAGTTCAGTCAAACTACTACTTCGATTTATTTGAGAATGAATCAGAGAAATAAAGTTTTCTTGGTGTGATTCTGGGTGTGATGGAATTCTATATATAGTTATTAATGAAAACGAGGCAAGATGAAACATCAGCAAGGCAATTTCTGGCTGGATCATTAGCTGGTAAATGAAATATAGAAAAGGGAAAGGCAGAATGATGATTTTTTTTCAATTTTCGATGCGATAAATTTATTGTCACACTACTGATCTTGCTAATTGAAATTTCAATATTTTTAGGGGTTACCTCAGTCTTATTTACATATCCATTAGAACTAATACGAGTTAGACTAGCATTCGAAGTAAAACAGGTAGGAATCCGATCATTATGTCAACAAATATACAACGAGCAAGCGGGAACAACACGAAGCTCAATAGTCCACCTTCCAATAATGAACTTTTACCGAGGTTTAACACCAACAATCATGGGAATGATTCCCTACGCAGGAGTCTCATTTCTAACACACCACTGGCTAACAAACTTGTGTCGGACAAAAATGGCAGATTTTACCACGTTACCTTCACTAGCAGCCGGGAAATTAGATAGTCGGGGCCAAGAAAGACGAGCTCCGCTTCGAACATGGGCAGAACTTATGGTTGGTGGACTGGCGGGTGCTATTGCACAGACTAGTTCGTATCCTTTTGAGGTTATAAGACGGCGGATGCAAGTTTATGGCACGTTGGATCCAACAAAGTTTGCGAGTGTTTGGGAGACTACTCGTAATATTTGGAGAACTAGAGGGTTATCCGGATTTTATGTCGGGCTGAGTATTGGCTATTTGAAGGTTACCCCGTTGGTGGCTGTTTCGTTTACTGTGTATCATCGTATGAAATTATTATTAAATATTGATTAGGCATTGTTTAGTATTCCCAACGTTAGATCCTAATGATAATCATCTGTACTAGCACAATACAATTGCTACGATGATGTCAAATTTAGTTAGTATAGATTATTTTAATTTAAATAAATGACGTTTCTTAACCAACTTAGTTTCATTTACATATCTTACATAATAATACATATCAATACTATTTACTTGAACTTAAAACCTGAATAAAGAGTGTAGTTGTTTATTGACATTAGGTCTTTGTGAGGCTTCCTAGAAAAATACTAAATTCCGTGAATCAAAAAAATAATGGCGAAATGAATAAAGAGCAGAATAGTAAGAAAAAAACAATGCCTTTGCTGCAGCAGCCAATGTATGACGAATATGTTGACTGGAATCGTGTATTTTCTCTTGGATTTGGGCAATTTCTTGTTCTTGTTCACGAGCTTTATGTAAAAAGATCAATTCAAGCTAAATCTCGAAATCAAAATATCTGGTTCATAATAATTAAATCATAGTAATAGTTACAAATTTTCTCAATCTCTTTATCGAATTCGCGCCGATCTCGTAAACTCTCTGTGTAATTTTTTTCGAGGGCTTCGAGGAGATCTTCGGTTTTCTTCTGTTATCACCAGTAAACGAAAAATTAAATTTTACAATATACATAGAATCAAATACACTTAAAAAAATTAAAATGCCAAAAAAACCTGATACTCCTCAAATCCCAACTGTAATTTCTTTAACCAGCCAACCTTTTGTTCGTCCTGTTCATCCATACGAGTCTTATACTCTGTTGCAACTTTACTCCTATAAAGATCAATTGGAATATTAATGTTACGTTAACCCACTCGTATGCACACGAACATAAAATGAAAATTGATCGATTTTTCACTCACATCATTCTTTCTTCTTTTTCGAGGTACCGTTTCATCATTTCGACTATGGTGGATTTACTTATTTCGAATCGAGTGTCCATCGATTTTGCTATTTGGGATTCACGTTTTTTTAAAAGTGCTAAAAAAAATAAAAAATAATTAAGCCAAGTAGTCATTTATTATTTTACTAAACCCGGAAATTTAAAAATTACCAGCAAGAGAGAGCATAAGTTCATTTACTTCCATTCCGCTATTTAAAATATTCACAAAAGAGCGAATTAATAAATATATGGATTATTTAATTTTTATATAATATAAATATATCTTAGATTACCTTTCAATTTCTTCACACAAACTTTCCGTCAACTCATCCACATCATCATCATCTTCACTACCATTATCACTCAAATAAAACTCTTGGTGATTCGGATTCGACAACTGCTGCACATATCCTCTCGGATATTGTTGCTGCTGTTGTTGTTGAATATCATTAACAAGATCATATTTAGAAGAGGTTCGTTGAATTTGACGCGGAGGAGTTGCCGCCAGCGGCAATCTAGACGCTGAAACGAAAAATCTATCAATTCCAGGTAAACACAAATCTAAACACGCAAAACCAAAACCAAAAAGAAGAAAACACAAATAAAACCTTTGAACCTTTGTCGTTTTCCAAATTTCGCAAATCTACTATTAGCAACACTACAGTTTGAAAAGTAATCCTCTACGTTACATTTACTACCATTGTAATTATTCTGGTTGTTGTGAGTGGGTACTTGTCTATGGGAAGAGGTAAATGACTTCGCGTGGCGATACTGTGATAGTACTGGTGGAGCAGGAGGAGGTACTTTCATGAAATCTGATTATTTTATTATTGATCGTGATGGCGATATAAAAGAAAATATCCAATCTTTGAGAAGACGCGTCGTGCCATATTCTGCTGCGCCGTTATAAATGCCAAATTGATTAGGAGCGCGTGATACCCGATCAACTGTGACGAAACTACATTCGTAATAACAATAAACAACTTCCAACTTTTGACCATTATTTTACCACAATACATACCCCACCCTCAAATCAATCACTGCTCTACTTGAACATCAACCAGAAAAGAAAGCAAGAACGACAAGAGGTTTGTACACCATTCGATTATGCTTTCGATTAAACTTGTCGCAGTTTGATGTCGTTTTCCAAAATGAAATGAACACATACATTCATGAAATACAAATAAAAGTATATGACCATTAAAAAAAAAAACACAAAAAATAACGCCATAAAAAAATACTTGTAAAAAATTATATAAAAAAACAGGAACAAACATTCATAAAAAAAATCAGCGAACGACATCAAGTAAAAAATAAAAGAGAAAAGAATACGACAAGTCTTCTGTGTTTTATTAAAATCGATATTTGGTATGTCTCTGTAATAATGAGTTCCACCTTAACAATACTTTTTCTCTCCTCTCCTCTCCCTTTGGCATTCTGCGTTTTTCGTTCGGATTCTTCAAATATCATCATCATCTTCAATTTACGTCTCGACAACTATCTTTGGATTGCTCTGCTACTGCTGTTGATTCTTTAATCACATCCGATGAATTGGCATTTCTTTTAAAAGTTGATTAAACTGAATTATTCGTCAATCATATTGTTTTTCATTACTTTTCAGAATTTATTCAAGATGCCTTGCAAACATCCTCTTTTCTTTCTCAAAGATTACGTCCACAATCATATGGGATTTTTATTAATTGTTTTTAGATAAACTAAATCAACCTATTTTCTTAATTTTTACATTTTACAATTGAAAAACTTCATCTTTAAATTCTTAAAACCGATATAAATTGATACGACCCCTATAACAGTAAAAATATCAATCATGGCTGAGGAAAAACAACCCACCGTTATTCTTCAAGATCCTGAAGACCATCAAGAGCATCACACTGAAGATGGCGAGGGTAACAACCCTGAGGACGCCGAAGCAGTATGTATATAGATATATATATATATATACCCCCGCAGGAAATTGATTTTCTAACTTATTAATTAAACGATTTCCTTCATTGTAAATGTATATAGCTTGAAGCGATGAAGCAACGCGTAAAAGAAATGGAAGAGGAGGCAGCAAAACTTCGTGAATTACAAGCAGTCTATGAAAAAGAGATTAATAGTAGTTCGGAAGAAGATAAAGAGGCGATTGATGCTAGATCAATTTATGTTGGCAATGTAATTATTTGTTTTCCATTCGTTTATTATTGAATTCCGTGTGAAATTTAGTGAATGGATATTGTTTTGTTTGGTCATGTATAGGTTGATTATAGCGCCACTCCTGAGGAACTCCAGGCACACTTCCAATCTTGTGGTACAATCAACAGAGTGACCATACTTTGTGACAAGTGGACGGGACATCCAAAAGGGTGAATAATAATTATTCAATTGATAATTTAATTTAATGTCATGTAATGTATACGTAAATGATCCTTAATATGAATTTCTCTTATCCTTTTTAGTTATGCTTATGTTGAATTCGCTGATCCATCATTAATCGCCAACGCAATGACTCTTAATGAAACTTTGTTGCACGGGCGTCCAATCAAAGTAACCGCAAAAAGAACTAATATCCCTGGATTCAATCGTGGCGGTAGAAGTCGAGGTCGTGCTGGTTGGCGAGGAGCGGGTGCACAGTTTTATGGTCATTATCCTCCAACGATTAGGGGACGTGCAAGGTAATCACTCATACAATTCATTCAATCAAAAGAATTTATAATAATGCAATTGAAATTCGCGGATTAATCCATTTTCCTTGGAAATTTTTAGAGGACGACGCGGCTTTGCTCCTTATTAATGCACAATAGCGGACAACCAAGTAATTAATCCAATCAGGATCACACATACCTAGTAGTGGCACGGAGTCATTCAGTAACGATGTTCCGGTAATCAAATGGATTATTTTATAATCGTTGTCAGACTAGACATGATTATTTTTTATACTTTTATCCCTTCTTATTTTTTTTACTCTAATAATAAAAAAATAGTAGTCAGGCATCAATCCAGGAATAGTATATATCAATAATATATATAATAGTAATAGCTTCTCGAATTTTAGATAGCCATTATCCAATGAAAATATGTGATGTGTCAGAATAGGTTAACAAGAAGCATTATTTTTTAATTTGTTTTTTTTTTACCATTTACTTGTCATTATTAGAGATTTATTTGGATGTGTACAACGCCCATACATACACGAAGAAGCATAGCAATATTATTATTACTTACAACACAATAATGTTTATCTGCTCACTCTTGTACGTATCAGATATTTTGATTCAAATTAGGTTTAAACACGGTAACGCAAAGCATTTGACAAAATATAAATATAATCAAGTTCCCCTATTTTCGGTCCCACCACCAGACCAAACTCTACTTATATATAAAACCCAACTTATTGAAATCTTATTATTATCACCATCAGCAACACCCATTTACTATACAGCCCTGCTGCTGATCATTGTAAAAAAAATAAAATCGACACACCATATTAACATCCATGGAAAGCTCGGAACTGGTAAAACGACTTTCCTTATTAGAAGATAAAAAAAAACAATTACTTGGAAGCATTTACACCGCGAATGGTATTGCAAACGGAACGATAAAAGGCTCGCAAGACGGAACCTGGACTGAAACAGCCACCAAACATAATTATAATAACAATAATAACACATTATCCACCTTTTTTAATACAACCGACGATCCTGAATCATACGCGTACTCAGAATCAGGCTCATACACGACACAGGAAGACATACCGACAGAAAAACTCACACTTTACAATATGGTCAACGCCGAAGATACAATCTCTGAAACTATTTCTTGGAATGTTTTCGACATTCGAGTACATCACCTCGAGAAAAGTGTTTACGGGTTTGATCCTGTGACAAAGAAAGCTGTACAACATGTGGCGACGACAAAAACAACCACCGACAATGAAAACGATATTGTAAAAGAAGTTGACAATTTAAAGGAAACTGACAATGTAAAGAGAACTAACAATGAAACGAAAACACATCAAGATAAATTAAAAGAAACATTGTCATTGTTAAGACGAGTTGACGAAGTCAAGAAACAGTTTCAGACTATTATACGAGAGAGAGATGGCTTGAAATCGTTCCTTGAGCAATGTGAGCATTATGGGGTTCAAGGGTGGCGGTTAGTAACGTTGTTGGTGTGAATCTTCGTAGAGGTGCGCGAGGGAATACAATGAATAAAACTTTCGAAAAAATATTTTCTTTATATCTATTGTGGAGATCACGAATTTTATATCAAATCATAATAGTAATAATTTATTATTAATTTACAGATGACCAGGTATCGGAATATGTTTCACCATTTAAAGATGCTGTAGATATGGAACGAGCGATTCTAACAACTGAGGCAAAAGCTGAGATAATTATAGCATCAGAGGAAGAATTATATGGAGTAGCAGAGAATTTAAAACAAATTGAAGAGTTGCAAGGAATAATTGATTCGGAAGAATTTAAAGGTAGATAATGATTAAATTCATAAACTTATAACTATAATTAGTTGTGTTAGTATTAACTTTGTTTCTAATACAATATCAATTTTGTGGGGTATTTTAATTTATAGGTCTTGATAGACTCTTTCCGCTACTTACTCCAATCGAAGCAAACCACGTTAATCAAGCTGCACGAACAAACGAAGTTTCTACACGAATAACACATTTATTGGACAGATATAATAGAATTGTATCCTTTAATAATAAATATAATTTGTGATTTATTTTTTTCGTCGCATTGATATATGTTAAAGTCCTTGATCCCATTCAATAACTAAAAAATTGATGCGAACAGATAAACACACTTTCAGAGATTTTTATCGCCTGGGATAGTATCTTGACTATCATTGATATGGAAATATCTGCTCTTGAAAGAAAGGCTCGCGAATAATCTCGATTGGGCCTGATTTAATTGGTTGGAGAGGGATAATGACCAAATTAAGAGAAACATACAAACAAGTTCGTGGATGGGTAAAATTAATAATGTAGAATTTTCTTCATCATAATCATCATTATTATCATCAGCAACAATAGCAATAACAACTACAATATCTTTATTTGCTTTCGCCACATATTCAATGTATTATTAATAATTTTAATTTTATTTAACATAATGAATTAATACTTAATATTCTAACGTTTGATCTAAATTTGTAAAAATTCAAATGTTTTTTGGCTTGTGAAAAGGGATTATATGATAAAGAGAATACATCATGAAAATTCTACAACATTTCCAAAATTTACATAATTTAAAAATATCAATTTTTGGTAAATGAGTTATTTATAGATTTAATCATCTTTAATTTTCTATTTTTTTATTTCATTATTTATTATTTTTTATTTATAATTATACTATAATCCAAAAGAAATGCAACAGTGTCAAAAATTATTAATAAAATACAAGTTTTTCTTTCTTTATAAAAGTTAATACAAAAATATAAATAATAATTCATATTTAACATATATTTTTTTCAGATTTTGAAAAGTTTTTTTAATGTCTATTATTTTTTTATTAATTTTTATATAAGATAAATATGAATATTGTGATAAAGTTAATAGTTTTTATTAATAAAAATCTATTGTTGCTATTTTATATGATTTTAAGCTTTATTATAGGAGAATATATAAATAACATATGATATTATATTAAGTGAAAAGTTTATAAGATATAATTTTAAGTAGAAGAAAGAATATAAATATTTAAAGATAAATAATATATATTTATTTGTTAATTAACTAGAATAAGATCAAAAATATTCAAAGATATTTATATTTTTTGAAGTATATATATTATAAATAAATAAATAATTTTTATTCAATTATTAATTACAATAACTTTGTAATTAAGATGAAAGATAAGATTATAAGATAAATAATAAAACTTTATAATTAAGATGAAAAATTATAAAAAAATACTAAATTAAAGATTTATTAAAGAAATATAAAGCTAATTACTTGTTTTTTATAGCTAAGATATATATTATATTTATACAAGTTATTTGTTACTCAATTATTAAAATCTAGAACTAAATTTGATTGATAATAATATTATATAAAAAGTGCTTATTATACATAACTCACTTTAATATTATATATAATTTATAATTAATATTAATCAAATTAAATAATGCTAATTAATTAAAATATTTTTTATATTAAAATTATTTAATTTAAGATTAATAATTATAATATGAAAATAATATGAAAATAATATGAAATAATATGAATAAAATATAAATAGCATGAAATAAAAAAGAATGTGATTTATAAATTATATATAAATTAACTATTCAATAAAAATAAAATATAATAAATTATGTGATATTGTTATCATTTTAATTGACTTTTGAAATACTCAAAGATATTTATAAAATTTAAGGAATATTCAAAGAGAAACTTTCAATGTCTTAATGGTAATTCAAAGTATTAATAATACTTTATGATTATTAGACTAAATATGAATAAGTACTAAAAATACTAGTGATAAAACCACTTAAAGATTGATAATAATTGTATTCTTTAAATACAATAATCTGAATTGCTTAAAAAAGTCCTCAAAATCTCAGAGTCAAAGTTATAGAGTTTATAATATTTGTATTATCAGCAATACGAGATCGAAGATAAATAATATATTATCAGCAATACAAAATTGAAGATAAGTTTATAAGCAATATATTATCAGTAATACAATCTCAAAGACAGATTTATGAATTATAATAATTCCTTTATTTAATATAATATTCAATAGGTTTTGTCACAAATCAAAATATTAATAGTTCGATATCTTTAATAATTAACAGTTTAAAATATTGAAGATTCAATATATCTGTCACATTGATATACAATATATGTAAATAATAAGCCCAAAAATAACTAACCAATAAATAAAAATAAATTATTGTCCAATAAAATATATTATACGAAGTGTTTAATAATAATAAATTAATAAATTATTTAATAAAAATATAATAAACAAAATATACTATAACAATATTCAATCTTATTACAGTTATAGCAAATTGATGGCTAGTAGTTATTGTCACGAGAATAATTTTAATCATTGCTTCTTGGTTAAAAAGCAGATTTTTCTGGTACTTCTAGACTATTTAGCTTACTGATCAGATTCTGGAGTACAATTGTAAGCTGAGTAAGATCAGGTATTGGTCTGTTTTGAATTTGATGATAAGTGATAGTTGGTTCTTCTGAATTAGCTTCTTTAATAGTTTTAGTCACATAAATGATGTTTGGTAGTGTTCTATCAGTATTTATTCTAATCTATTTGTGAATTTCTAGTTTTAGATCTCACTTATAGGTTCTAGTTTTGTAATTATCTGGATAAACATTGATAGGATCCACTTTCTTCAAGAGAACATTGAATCAATTAGTATATTTATTAATATTTTTAGTTTGTTAAAAAGTTAAGTTCATTTTATTATTGTTCAACTTTGCGAGAGATGTGAAATTTTAAGATAAAGCAATATTTGAAATCATGTTTATTATTTTCAATATTTGTCTAGTCAGTTAAAGTAAAAGCATTGTTAACAGCTTTTTAATTGAATCAAACAGTGGCAGCATCTTTCAAATATCTATGTATTATTTGAATTTTGCAAGCATCAGTAACTCTATTGGCAGTAGCAATGACTTCAAAATCTCTGAGTCATTCAACAGGATCTTGATTATTATCTTTGAATTTACAAATTGGAATATAATTCTTTTCAGCTCTTAGTCCAATAATGAGAGCAGCAGTAAGAGTATTTAGTTCATTAAGAACATCATTTAGATCAGCCATTTCTTCATTGTCTGATTCTTTGATTATTTCTTCTTGTACAGAATTTAGTTCTTCTTTTAATGATTGTTCTTGATCAGAAATATTCAGTTCTTCTTCAGTATCAGTTTGTATAATTAGTTGTTCTTGAAAGTTAATATCTTGTTGTTCTTCTATAAATTCTTATTCTATTTCTTCGATAATTATTTGTTGATCTTTTATTATTTTGATATTGCTGGTTGTTTTAGAATAGTAATCATCAGATATATTAGAATCTTCTCTGAATTCTAAGTTGTGAAAGTCTTCAAGAGTTATTCTGACTAGATATAATTAGTGATCAAGTATATGTTTGTTTCAGTAGATAAGGATATTCAATAGTCAGATTACTTATTTTTTTAGTTCTTTTTTTTTGATAGTAACAAGATTTGCTTCAAAGATATTTTTAAATAGTTGTTCAGTAATAAAAAATTCAGATATTGCATCTTGTTCTTGAATTCAAATAAGAAAATTAGCTAAAAGTTCAGTTAGTATATCTGAAAATAGAAAGCAAATATAATAGAAGTATTATTGAAAAATTCAAAGTGATGTTTTTTGATGTTGAATTTCCAAATGAGTATTAAGATATGAGCTAATAGGTTTTTTAATAAAGATATAATAATCATTTATAAAAAGATTTTAATTAAAAAGAAGAGTTTTTGAAATAATATTCCACAGAGAGAGCACCAAAATATTACAAATTTGTTCACTAATCATGAAATTAGCTTACAAACAAGAATCTAGATTGAAAGAGAGTATAAACTGATAAAGAGAAATGAAAGATATCTAAGATTTATACTAATTTTTATAGAATTGTATTTACTTGAAAAGGAATAAAAATATAGGAGAGTTATGGAAGAGTAAAGGTCAAAGGAGAGAGAGAGAGAATAAAAAATAATAAAAGAAATTCAAAAGAGTAATTCTATACTTGCATAAAGCTTTCTAGAACTAAAGTAATATAATTAGTAATAACAATAACAAAAACTCTTTCACTTTGTTTTTTTAACAAGTGAGAAATTTTGTTAACAATTAAAAATTCAAATAACAAAAAGTAAAATACTTATAATTTAATTTTAATAATTCTAATATAGTAATTTGTTTAGCACAATATAATATAATTTAATAACAGCAATTTGTTCAGCATAATACAATTTAAAGTTCAAAGTCAATAATAGCAATTTGCTTGGTGTAATATGATATAAAGCTATTAACAATTTGATTAGTTCAATATGATATAAGATTACTTATATTGTTATAGTGATTCTGAATAGTGAGTTTCACTGAGAATCATTATAAGCATATGATGTTGGGAGAGAGGCAATTAAACTTAAGTAAAGAGAATGAATTATAAATATTAGCAAAGGTTTCTAAGACCTGTGCCAATATCTACGGA